AGCATTGTGTGCAAACCGATCAATCATTCAAGTAAGGAATTTTTCAGGTTGCCTAATTTCTATCACATACACTATTAATTTGCATATAAAACATGTGAATACATTTAAATATGTTGATGCGAGCATATATACCAATACTGCAAATATACGACTACCGAATTCTGATATAGAGTTAGATAATAACATTTATATATACAATCATTATTGAAATCATTATTAACTAGCTCAAATAAATATAGTTCAAATGTTGATACAGGAATCGTTTACACAGTTATTCAAACAAGAATTTCGTTACAAATGTTATAAATGAGTACATGTATATTTTCGATGATTATTAAAATGTATTTATTGGTTTAAATAAATCTGTTGATGCGGACAATCCTAATACAAATATACAGATGTCCAGATTCTGTTACAGATACGATGCATCTGTAAATGAATACGTGCATTTACACAAGAATCACTGAAAAGGAATAAAAACAGTAAACTTGTCAAGCGATTATATTGAAGCAGAAACTCCTATTAAGAATATAGAACTAGTATAGTCTTCTTAGTAACTGATGTTAATGGCACTCGCAGTTTGGTAACTCGCTATATTCAATAAAATTACAAACAAGCGAACTAAGGTTCATAGATGAAGCCTGAAAATTACAGCAAATTAAAGATTAAGCCAGCACTTTTATTAAAAGTAAAGATCTCCCGCCATATACATATACTTTATCCCAAGTAGCACATGACGTAGCAAAGACGTTGCAAACTGGTCCGAGAGGTTGCAAAGTGGTCGTAATAACGTCTTTGCTACGTCACGTGCTACTTGGGATGTTTTGGAAAAGGGTAAGTGATTTAATAAATCTTTTAATCTTCATAAAATTTTTCAGTTAGCAAGAAAAAGATATTTTTGCGTGCGTATGAATTTATTTTACCAAAAGAAACACTTTACAGTTCTGGAACTTTCCACAAAAGTACTCGTACAGTTCTTCTCAGTATCACAGAGTACAGTCAATAGTTACACTTCAAACTACTAAGAACTTTAACTAGTGCAATGCAATGTGCGTTTAAAAAGCGAAGCTCGTAATACTCTCAGTACTCCAAAGTCCAACTCTGAGCTAAAATCTGAGAACAGTGCTCTGTCCGGACTTATATAGTTTTCCCCTGACCGTCAAGAAATCTCTGGTATCTTCCATTTCTTGAACTTACTAGAAGTCATATACGGTTAATTTTACATATAAAGGCCGAATACGATTACAGTTACATATAGGGATCAATTACAGTACCAACTACAGCTATACCGGAACCAGACCCAAATGTCGCCAAGATTGCCAACTTTTGGTGATTTCTCGCCAAACTAGTCGACAAAAATTAGTTGCCGAAAACATCGCCACCTTGGCGATATCTCGCCAATTTAGCCAGATAGCCATTTACCTCAATTTTAAATAGACTTGCTCCTGTAATTTTATTTTTCCTCATAGCTTTGTCTCTTTAAAGCATTTGCTACATTATACAAAAAATACTGCAGTTTCACTAGTAATTTCATCAAAATTGTTTACATGTGTTCAAATATCATTAAGAATATTTAAACTGTATTAATTCAAACAACTCTTTGTTGAAAATTGATTAAAGTACTGTGAATGTTGTTAATTTACTGTTCTCATAATATAAAAGTACTAAGATAAATATTCTGCAAGCTAGGAAACAAACATCATCGTTTATAATGGAGATGCGAATATATAATGAGAGTAATGAATGGAGTATACTCTTAAAACGTAATTATTGTCATTTAAAATTAAGCCCAAAAAAGAAAAGGAAAAAAGAAGAAATCTTATAAGTATAGAGTTGGTTCAAAATCTACACGAATCCAAGTTTCTTTCATGCTTGATTTTACATTTTACATCAACATGTTTTTCTTCCAGTTAGAGTTATTATTACCTTAAAATTAAGTAATAAAGAATTGCTTGGCAAAATAAAAGCAATTTTTTTTTAATTTAATGTTTAATAACCTTAAGAGACGACCGCTTCTGAAAATAATCAGTATTTCCGAAAATGTAGTTCTGAGCATCAACTCTCATGAGCACAAAAGATAAAAGTCATCTGAAACCAATAGTTTCAGATATCAAACTCCACAAAAGACCAAACTCCTCTAGAACCATTAAATGTAGGCATAGGTCATTAAAGTTAACAGTGTCTACATCTAACCGTGCATTTTTACATAAAGACTCTAATCTAAAAATGTTATAAATTCAAATTCCTGAATTCATGTAAGATGGAAAGTTTGAGAAACGTTTCCTGAAATCATTGAAACAACATCCATTAAATGATAACTAATGCCAATTTCAAGTACCGAAAAAGTATAGAATAATCTGAAACTATAAAAATTAGAATTATTCATCTAACATCTTTAACAAAATTAATACTCACTCAGAATTAGTTTGAAAGATATAACAGGCACATTAGTACCGAATGCATTCCAACAGCATTGCTATGCGAGGAAGTATGGGTAAAAAGGCAGACCAGTCATCCAAGGAGGCGACGATTGTATTATGAAGAGATAATAAAGTACCATTCATCCTTACTACTTATACATTTATTCTTGCACTAAAATCAATAGACGTAATTCAAGCAGTCAGTGGTAAATGACAGGAAGTGTACGTCTTTTAAAGACTTCCATTTCTGAAGTTTTTAGAAGACCCACCTGCGCAGAATTACGCATGCTGATTGTGCATGTAACTGCCTACAAGCTCATATTTTTAAATCTCAACTGACTAAATCTTTAATTGTGTGTGTGTGATTATGGCAAAACCTCGAGGGCTATCTGACTAAGGGGAGGGATGCCTTCGTGGAGGATTTTCTAAGGGAAACTGGCTCGTATACACGTTACACATGGGGAAAACCACGAAAACGCCCATGCAGCCAGCCCGTTCGCGGAATCCTTAATGGTATGTTATTAACAGTGGAAATTATATGGACTTGGGACACTGTGTACAAATATCTGAAAGCACTTTAATAATTATTATTTATTAATACGTAATGAGTTTTATATTTGATTTACATAAAATTATCGCTTATAATAAATAAAACGTTTGCGAAAATAAAAAGGTATTAAATTCATGTATTTTCTTCAGTAACTTAATTTTTCATTTTAAGCAGGCGATGTGAAGGATAAAAATTGATTCCAATAAAATCCTTAAAAAAATTAAAATGTTGTTTTTTAAATAATATGATAGATTTTAATTAAATTTCTATTCTTTGGAAATTTTATTTAATTGCACAAAATATATAAGTCAAACGTTTAACTTAGAAAATAAAATATATTGTTTCTGATTGTATTCCAATAGCTTTCACCAAGAAATGCATCGTTTGGTTCAAATGGGCGAACTCTTGATGTTATACTTTTCTAGAAGATATTAGAAGAAAAATTTCTAATTACAGAATAGTGTTTGACGATACTGAAAGAAAATCAAAAGTATGAAAAGAAAGAACATCAAATAAAATCATTCCGAAATAAGAAATGAATCAAATAGCTATATAAGAAATGAATCAATAAGACATTGTCTAACTTTTAGGTTTTAATGTAATTATGACTGATATTTCTCAACCTGAGATTATTACAATATTACTATCTTCCTTTACCTATTAAATTATTGACTTTATTTACTGTTGATTTAATTCTATATGGTGTTTTCCGAAAACAAAGGGTCCACTCCTTCCCCGTAAACTTCAAGAATTCAAAATATGCACTGAAACTTGACTGAGGACATAAAAAAATTTTGAAAAAAAAAATTAAAAAGAAAATCTGAAAGGTGTCAGATTTTAAATTACGTCCAAAGGGGCATTTTTCTCATATTTTCTTCGCACTTAAACCATAAAATTGATTCAAGAGCAATAGCAATATCGCAAAATAATTTTAAAATGAACATATATCTTTAGAATTTCGGATGCACAGTCTCACGTGCTGGAGATAAAAATGTTTTTTCTCTACAACGTTATCATTGCTCGCTTTGAAATCCTTGAGTTTGTTAATCAAAAATTCGTTAAAGTTATACAAAATAGGAAATCGATAACAAAACAACGATAACAATAGCAATATCGCAAAATAATTTTAAAATGAACATATATCTTTAGAATTTCGGATGCACAGTCTCACGTGCTGGAGATAAAAATGTTTTTTCTCTACAACGTTATCATTGCTCGCTTTGAAATCCTTGAGTTTGTTAATCAAAAATTCGTTAAAGTTATACAAAATAGGAAATCGATAACAAAACAAATTCTAAATTTCAAATTTGGGTTTCCAGATGCCCCTATTCGCAGTAGGATTACGTCATTCAAAACTGGATAGCACTAGGTACCGTTGTTTTATCATAATGCGAGAAACATACATACATTTATGCAGATTCTTCATTATTTAATTTCTTGAAATATAACACAGGGCGATAGTATTTGGCGGCAACAGTTTGAAAAGTGAAATGGATATTCAGAGTGATTTGACACAAAACGAAAACAATAGTCCTTCAGGAACAAAGCCCCTTTGAACTAACAATCGTTTTTTGATTTAAGATAAATATATATATGTACTTTTAGATTTCATAAACATTTAGATTACTTTGTTTTGAAATGTAAATGATAAGATCTTTCAAATATCAATTTAAGAAAATGCAGTCATTTGCAAAATGTACCATTTCTATTCAGTTCTTATCCTCTAGCTTTGCAACATAAATTATAATGATGAAATTTATGAGAACATAAAATTTGCTTAAAAGGATAAGATCACGTACTTCCATAATAAATGTTAAAATTTTAGTATAAATACTATGAGCAAAAACATTATGTGTTAAAAGCATTTTATTGCCGAAATCAAATGATAAGATCTTCTACTGTAGATATTCATCGTCTACTTTTAAATTCTTTTATTTTCGGCTTTAGAGTAACAACTCTTTAGAAGATTGTAAACAAATTTAAATACGTGCGAAGATTTTAAAGCTTTGTTATCTTGTATTTTTCTCCAGCAAAACTGAAGAGCTTATCGTCACAGTTTTGAAGGCCCGAGGTCTGACGGCTTTCGACTCTTCGACAGCAAAAGTGGATAGTTATATACGTGTGTCTTTATTGCCAGACGAGTCCACAATCATGCAGACGGCGGTAAGTTTTTATTTGTTTTGTCTGAAACTTTTACTTTCTTACTGGATGGCTGCCTGCAGTGTGTTAAAAATGCGAAGATTAAATGCAAATGAATTGCATGTACGTGAGATGAAATTCTTAAGGTCATTGTCATTACTTTGTGGAGTACTGACTTTTATTTCTGGAATTCAAAACCGATGAAACGTTAGCGTTTAGTTAGCGTTTAATTCGTCATACTCATTGACAATAATGAGTATGACGAATGATTCATTGACAATAATGTGTTTTTTTATTATTTTGGAAACGGCACTCTAGCCGTTTATAGGCGTTGACACCGGAAGCGGTGTCCTCTTTACTATGAAGGCACCTAATAAAATGGTCCACCGTTGCCCCCTGTGAAGGGACGAACAAATTAAATAAATGCCGCCTTGTCCGGGATTCGAGCCGGGGTCTTTCGGTATGCCAGTTAGAGTCATTAACCAGTTTATCTTTATGTTATCAGAATAGGAGTAAATAGGAGAGACACCGATCCAGTAATGAAAATCTTAGACTTCACATTCATAAAAGTAATAATTGAATTTAGTGCACGTATTAATTATGTGTACTTGTCTTGGAATAAATTCCACCTTAAAATCCACCTTGTAATTCCACCATGGCAGTTAAAGTAGCCAGTTACTATAACTGAATCTGAATAGTTTACCCTCTGCTTGCATGCATTAAATGTCTCACATCATTTGGTACACAAGTTCGCTTTGATGAGATGTCTGAATCAATGGATTCAGCCATTATCGACGAAAGCTTAAGCAGCAAGTGTCCAGGCAATTAGAAAATTTGAAGTCTGGTTTAGTGCTTTAGTCTGGTTATCCTTCAATCTGGTTGAGTGCAGAATGTTCACTACTAAATTACACTCCATCAACCTTATAACTCTAATTAAATAATGTAAGCAAAACAGTATATTACATATCCAGTGATTCTCAACCTTTTTCGCCCCATAAACCCTGTAGAAATTTATTTTAATTTCCTAATAGCTATTTTCATTTTTGAGTAAGCTTTCCTTTAATATCTTATTTTCCACCTACAATTCCCTGCCAGAATCAGTTTTCAGTATCGCGTTTTATGCAAATCAGGTAGAACTAGTATTTAAGTTGAAATCCCTGTCACTTTATAAGGTATTTATCCCGCCTTAGTAGTGTAATGGTCAGCATGCTCGGCGCGTATTCGAGAGGTCCGTGGTTCAATTCTCGGCGAGGGCATTGCTCATTTTTCATCTTTCCAGCTCCGAAATAACCTAATGTCTCTACAGATTTAGTAGAAGAGCTTAGATGTTCTTAGTAGAGCGTGTTCTGTCTTCTAGCCACGTTGTTGCTTTAAGTCAAATCTTACTACGTTCGTTCGACCGTATTGTTATCTGCTTGCTTGTATTCGCCGGTGAATTTGAATAAGGTCCAACTCTGTTAATTATTTCTGCATAGCGTCGGCTGTTTTTAGTTTAGTTAGCATTAGATTAGTTTCTTATTTTCTGTCTTAAGTTAAATCCTAAGTGGAGGCTTCCTGTAAACCCAAGACGGACCATCTGTGAATATTTTAAGTAGACTTTTTATTGAAGCATTAGAACCAACAGATTAGTCGCTAATAGTTCTTAAGGATTTTAGTGGCTAAAGACAACAAATTTAGCTAGAACATCATAACCCTTTCACTACTGCTAGATGATCATTCACCTCCTCCTTTTCAAAACTCAAAAATTACATATGCATTTATTTAAATTTAAATAATTTTAATGTGTTTTATAAATTAAGCAATGAAAGTATAGAAAATGCTGATAAATAATAAAACTTGAATAGAAGTAATTTTTGATATTCATAAAGGTAAACAGAATACTTTACAGATAGATAAAAGTCTGACGACAATATTTCTTGAAAAGAAAAGTAATGCCGTTTTTAAACGTAGGGAAGGAAGCAAAAAATATTAATAAAAATATTTAGTTTTCTTAGCATTTGAGAAATTTTGCTGTGCTTAGACTGTATAATAAATTTTAAACGTACATGATTGATTATGGCAACCATGAAAAACAACTCAAGATAAGTAAGAAACTGCAAAAGTTAAATATAAATTAAATTAATAAATTTTGTCTAATTCGTAGTGATTTAATAAAATAACTTTTGTATTAGCGTACTTATGAAAAGAATTTTATATTTCAGTCCATTTTCTTCATCTTTTTTGTGACCATCTAAAGCAACTTAACAATACATTTAAGATGCACCTTTCAAATGGACAAAATATCTATTTTTAAAATTTTACTTTATTGTATGAAGCATTTTATGCTGAATAAATTGATATCATTTATTTATTTCTTTGAAAAATATTTATCAAGTGTCGCCCAGATGGGGAAGTGGTTAGTAATTTGATTGACCGTACCGAAGGACCCGGGTTCGAATCCCGGTGAAAACATTGATGTATTTTGTCCATCTCTTTATAGAAGGGGAAGGTGGTCCCCTTGTTAGGTGTCTCCATAATGAAGAGACCACCGCTTCTTGGTATTAGGAGTGGCCAACGCCTATAAACGCCTAGAATCCGCCATTGTAACAATAAAAATCATTATCAAATTATAAAGGAAAATATGAATTTTATTTTACGATTTTAAAATTAAGTACTCTTACATCAGCAGCCATGGCTATTTGTTTACACTTTGAAATCATGTATCATAACTTTAGTGTTATGTGCAAAGCCTTAATTTTTAATCTAATTTTAAAAGACTTAAAGACTTGTCAGAGCTTTATTTTTAATGTATGGAAAGTGTTTCGCAAAATAAGCAACTTCAGCAAAGTTTGTTTCCGAAAACAAGCAAGCAGCTTATTTAAAGAATTATATATTTGCATGACACTTCAAAATTAAAAAGCATAAAGGAAAAGAAAGGAGTTGTATATGAAAGTACAAAAATTAAGTATCTTTTTATGAATTTGTTTTATAAATTTATCTCAGTCCTAGTATATAATATAAAATTTTAACACGTTTTTGAAAATCTTGTTATATGCATTATTATACAGCCAAGTTTCACTACCTGTTGCGGGGTTTTCATTATTACTATTACTGCTTAATGGTGAGTACTATTATGTCTTACATTAAGATTTGATGATTTTTGTTGTTTGGTAGGAATTTTATGTCAGTTTACAAATTATTTTACAGTCATTTTCCTAAACATCATCAGATATTATTTTTACGTATCAAATATCGTATAGAAAGTGATTTTATTCTTACTAAATTTAAATTTGCATTTGAAAAGTGACATTTTAACTTTAAATAGTTTTTTACAAAAAATTGTTTTCCAGAATTGTGCGCATGATATTTATAAAACAGCTTAAACTGCCTGAAAATTTACACCACGTATTAATATCAAAGCTGTAATTTAAATGAACTATAATTATGGAGACGCGTTAAATATAAACATTTTTTCAATATAAATGCATGCAAAAATATATAATAAATATTTTTAAATTAATGCTTAATGAATTTTAAAAACTTGAATAATTAAAAGATTACAGTTCATATAAATAATGAGATTAATGCACTTGATTTGACATTAAACTTAAGCATATCGTGTTAAAGTTGAGCAATATATCTTGTACGCAGTGAAGTAGTATAATTCCAGATATAAATTACAAGGTCTTGACAAAAGTATTTAAAAAAAAATATTTTAACTTGTTTTCGGTCTATTTAACATTTTCTCTCCGTGTTTCAATGTCCTACTTAATAACTCTGAAGATATTGTGAATCTAGGCTCAATAGTTATTTTTAATACATAATTTATATTAAATATTTTGCATTGGTTAAAGATATGTTGTTCCCTTTATACTTCTTTGTAAGAAGTGAAGGAAGTATTGTAATTACAAAAAATTTCGAGTATCCTCTTTCAAAGGAAATATCCATTTTGACCATTCCCGAATCAGTTTGAACAGTTTTTTTACATGACATCTGTGCGAGCAGAATAAAGGACTCTTTCTTCCAATGTAAATTTTTGTAAAATGGATTTAAAATGGGTTCAAAAAGGATTTTTTTCGTGACATCTGTAGGTATGTTCATATGTATGTATCCCGCATAACTCAAAAACGATTAGCGGAAGAACATTGACTCGTGTAACATTTTGCATAGACTGGTGTAACATCTAGATGTGCACCTAGAAATGACGCAATCTAGAGAACTTATTATGTTCTAGAGAACTGAGAGGGCTAATTAAAGGGTTACCTCCTTTAGCTTAAATTAAAATTTTGATTTACATGTTTTTTATCTTACATGTATATATATAGCTATCTCCTTACACGGCTTAAAAGTCCTTACCCGAACTTTTGCAATCGTTGGTCGTAGTCATATACTTCCAACTACAGAAATGTTTTAAATGACGAAAATGTTTATGTTTTGGCAATGACAAATTTTTAAAAACAAAATTTCGACGAATATAATTTTCGATAAAGTTAGCGAAATTTAACTTTTAATGTGGTCTTCCGTTACCTATACTTATATTTGGGAAGGTTTCATATTCGTTATGAAAAAATAAAATTATAGGGAGTTTGACTCCCGTATTACAAAATTGATCGGGATATTTAATTTGAGAATTTGCTGTAAAGGTAGAATAACTCTAGGAAATAAATTTAAATGAACTGCAGCAAAAAAATGTGTATTGCATAATAGACTATACAAGGAAATTCACATCAGATTCCACATCAGACATCAGACATCATCATCACATCAGGTGTCCACATCAGATTTTTTAATAGAATATTTCAAACTTTACTTAAGATCACCAGACTTTTTCGACGCGAAGCCGTGTAAAAAATAGCTTTGAATATATAAAGGTGCGAAAAATAAAATACCTCGATGTACGAAATAAGAGTTTTTCAAACAAACAGCTTTTTGCTGGGAATTAGAAAATTCTCTTCCCTCGCTAATGTTTTGCAATACTTAATGCTCCGTATTTTCGACATTGTAAACATTTTTGTATCGTACTCTATTCCGTTTTAGTCTTTAAT